TTATCCAAGATTCCCGATTACAAATCATGAGTTCAAGGCGGGAACCATAGATAAGATGAATTGATCATTATTACTTATGAGAAGAATGTCATCCATATAGACAAAAAGGAAGACCTTGAACCCCTCTCGCATTATAAATAAATAATGAAGAACCTATTTTTGATACCACATATTCAAAATTTACCAAGAATTCCTAAAGATAGAATAACCAAGCCCGATGTGATTATTTCAATCCATAAATAGATTTATGAAGTTTACAAACGTAGTCGGAAAATCTATCATCAACAAAACCAATTGATCGAAACATATACACATTTTCAATTAGACTCCTATTTAGGAAAGAATTGTACATATCTAATTGTCCGACTTGCCAGCCATTATTTACAACCAAAGTGAGCACACACCTAATAGAGACTGGTTTGATGATGGAACTAAAAGTTTCTCCCTAGTTTACCTTGTTCAGCGAGGTCAAACTCTTTAGCCACTAACCTATCTTCATATCTCTTAAGTGCAGTCGTCGACTTTTTTTTTTTTGAAAATCCATTTACTGCTAATAATGTTTATAAGAGGGAATAAGGCACTAAAGACCACATACCAATTTTGAAAAGGGTAGTAAATTCAATAACTATAGTCGTTCTCCAAACCAAGTGTTTACTAGCTTTGAATAGTAGGATGGTGATTCTAGAGGTGCTTCGATAGTAACTACTAGTGAAGCCTACAATTTAGAATTCTTTATCATATGCCTTAAGACCATATGATGCATGTGGGTTTATTCTAGGGTGGAATGATGAATGCCAACATGTGTTATGGCTAAGTAATAATCAATAAAATCAAACACCAATTTTAACCCTTTATTAGGTTTTGAAGAGGAGTGATGGACATAAGTAGTTGGGAAGGAGACTTTAACTTTGTAGTTGGGTGGTAGGCTTTGTGGGCTATGTATCAAGTTGGGTGAGTTGGATGAGCTTTGGATCAAGTGAGGTGAATTTGATAGATGGGCTGAAAGTATGGATTAACTTGGGAGATGTCATGGGCTAGATTATAAGTGATGGTGATTGGACTATGGGCTTTGGATCATGGTTGGTGAACTAGAGATGTGTTATGGACTTTGGGTCAAGTCGATTAAGTTAGACATGCTCTGTGGGTTTTGGATTAAGGTAGGTGATTTGGATAGAGGGTAGAGAGTGTGATTGAATTATTGTTTGTTGTGGATTGAAGACCAAGAGATTAGTGTGATGTTTGCCATGCTAGAAAATTTGAAAAGAGAAGTAGAGAACCAAAAATTTTCATAAAAGCATAATCTAGGAGTTTTTAAAGATAATTTCGAACAAAGACTTATTCTTAGTAGTAGGAGAGGGCATCCTATTTATTAAAAAAATAAGTAGTTTCAAAAGTAAAATGTTAGTAACTCGCAAAGAACACTAGTTTCACCTAAAAGGGTCAAACCAATTTCCATAATATAACGATAATGTCGTTCCACGGTTTTATTTTGTTCTTATGCATAGAGGTACATCATACGATGAGCAATACCAATTGTTTGAAAAAGGAATTGAAGTGGTGAAACTCACCCCCAATCCATTTGCATTTGTTTTATTTTGTAATTAAATTATCTCTCACTAAATTTTTAAAATGAAAGAAAAATATCCAATACTTTTAATTTTTTTTCACGAGAGGATAAAACCAAATATACTTAGAATAATAGTCAATAAAGATAACATAATATTTATGACCATCAATAGTAGCAGATTGGTGATGGTCTACATATATCGCTAAAAATTAGGTTTAAAAATTCAATGCTAACATTAACAAAAGAAGCCAAAGATAATAAATTTGCCTTTCTTAAAGGGCAATATAGATAAGTGTTTGAAATACTAGAAGTAGTAGAAAAAATATTATTATTTTTTTATTTAAAATGAAATTAAGAATCTGTTTATATGGATGTTGTAGTCTAAAGAGCTAAAATTTTAGAGACGGCTTAACGAATACGCATAAGGAGTGAAATATTGAGGAAAAGCATATAAGTCAACATCACTCGACGAGAAAAAAATTGGTGTCCTGTTTATTTGATCCTTAACATAAAAGGTAGAAGGATGAAACTCCCAAAATAAGTTATTATCACAGGCTAATTGTTTAATAGAGAGCGAGTTATTTTTGGAACATGTAGTACATTAGAGTTTTAGATGGTGTTTTAATATGATTGGTACCAATGTATTTAGTAGGTAAATACTTACCATTTCTAACCTATAAGTGATCCGAACCTCGATATGGTTCATATGTGTCGAGGTTAACAAGATCGAGTATTACATGATGTGAAGTACCAATGTCAAGACACCAAGATTGATTTTGTGAGTATGTAGGATTTACCGGAGACCACGAAGGTAAATTTACCATGAGGTGCTAAGGTTGCGAGATATCATTGAGAACAATGTAGTGCGGTATGATTCCAATACATACATAGTTAACACTTGTTGTTATTCTTTATTTGAGGCCGATTGCCTAGATTGCCTCTTTCATTACCATTATTATACGGATTTAATACACCTCATGCCCTTATATTTTAATGAAATTATTTTTATAGCCCTTATCAAGATATAGTTCATAACAAACTTTATATTATTGAAAGTTGATGTAAAATAACCCCTTAATTATCTTTTTTCTTTAGTTTGACTAACTTTCGTTAGTTGATCTACGAATGTCCAACACAATATCGACACTTGTCATTTTAAGGGTGAAAACATAATTTTGTTCTCCTTGGCTTTATTTTAAGTTTAAATCATTTAAAAAAAAAACAAATAGTTGTAATCATGGTTAGCAACATTGGTTCATTGAATCTAGAATGAAAATGAATTGACCAAAACTAACAATTGTCCAAAAAATAACTAAGTAGGATTACCCTCAATAAGAAAATTTTTCTTAATTTCGATCGATCCGATTGTCAACCTTTCATTGGATAACACTTGTCTATAATTTAAAATGTTTATTTTGGATGTGAACAATACTACTAATATGATTCTTAATTAAATTATTTAACAATTTTATGTACTTTTAAAAAATATATATAATGTTTTGATTTTTCTTTCTTTTTATTTTATATATGTTGTTCATAGGGATGACAATTTGCCCCGCCCAATCGAGCCCCGCTTGCCCCGCATCAATTTTCCCCGATCAACGTGGGGATTCTTTGCGTTGATCCCCCACGTTGATCGAGGAACGGGCGGGGCGGGGATGGGATTTGCCTACCCCACCCTGTTTGCCCCATTTCTTTTTTTTTTCATTAAAATTATAATTATACCTCATATAAAATCTATAATTAGTGATTTTTAAGGTTTATTTTCTATATAAATTATCATTTTTTTGTTATAATTTAAAATTTGATAGTAGAATTGGATAAAATGAGACGAAAATTAAAATTTTTTTTTGCCTCGTTTGCCTTATGGGGATCCCCGTCCCCGTTTAGAGTGGAGATGGTATGGAAAATTTTACCTCGTTCAAGGCACGGGAAAATTTTTCGGGGGCGGCGATCCCCGTCCCCGGCCCGACCCATTGCCATCCCTAGTTGTTCATGATATTTGTGTGTTTTTTTTTTTAAAGAATTCATTTTTTAAACAATTCAACGTATTTTTTTTAAACAAAGTGTTTAATTTAAATTATTTCCTTATGGTAATTTTAATTCAAAATGCATAAAACTAGATTAACAAACGAGATAAATAATTTTTCCCACAAGACATCTCATTGCAACAATTTATTATCAAACGAGTTTGAAGTGTTTAATCTCACAACAAAACAAAACATAACAAACATAAAACAACATAAGGAAGCACAACAACACAAGAAGAGCCAAACAAATTTTTAATCTCAATGCATCAAAATAGTCTTAAAATGTACTTTCTATTAAAAAAAAATGTTTTATAAAAACAATTGGAGGAATAATAAAAAGTTTTATCGTACGAAAGAGAGCGAGAACTTTCTCCCACTTTGATCGCAACCTCTTTCACGCGTAGTGCTCCGATCACTACACGTGTTTATAACGAGTGGGAAATAAATAAATAAATAAATATTTTTTTTATATAAATCTAATGGAGTGAATTACAAGTATGTAAAACTCTGAATCAGCTTTCACTCTTGGCAACGCGGGCTCTTAAAAGTCGTAACTTAAAGAACGCAGATAATAATTATTACGTAAAAATATACGTAGTGGGGTCCATGATAGAACCTGCAAAATACCCCTACAAAACGACGAATTGACTTGAATAGCAACCACACCAAAACCGTAGAACAAGAAACATAATGTTTTTCTTAAACCATCTGGTCCTTCAAGTTTTCTATTTTGATCATTGTGATCTCTATTAAAAATTTAATTTCTATCAATAAAAAAATCTTAATTAAAAAAGTGATAACGAAAATTTTGAAATAGAATTAATTTATTCATTCAATTTTATTATCAATTTTATAAAAAATAATTTTTCGATTGTTTGGTTTTATTAATAATTAAATTTGATCATTTTTTTTATCAACCAACCAACGTACATCTTATGTCTTTTTTAAATTTATAAGTTTCGTTTTTTATAAAAATTGTTAATGAAACTAAATGGATGACTAACCTTATTGTTATTTCAAGAGTTGGTATGCATTTAATTTTAATAGTTTCACTTTTGACAAAAATTGTTAATGAAACTAAAGTAATGACTAATCTTATTGTGATTTCAAGAGTTGGTATGTCCTTAATTTTAATAGACCATATAAAGAGATTAAAAAAATAAAAGAATATATAAAGAGATTAAAAAGATAAAAGATAAAGATTTGAGGGACCACATTTCCCAATATTATTTTATTTATTTCAATCTTTTATAAAAAGTGTAAGCAAAGCCTGCATCAATCCTAAGACCAGAAGACACAACACAACAGCCTAAGAGAAACCTCACCCCAAGTTTCAAACTCAAAAACATTTTTTCTTCTAATATTTATTCAACTCCAGCTTTTCTCTTGAGAAAAATCTATCCATGGACTCAGAAACTTCACCGTAAGTACTCACTCACAATTCACAAACCTATCTTTCCAACAAGAATTTGACTAGAAAAACTTTATTTTTATCCATCTCATTGCCTAAAATTGCTGATAATATTTTCTTGATTATTATTGTTATCCAATATGGGCAGGTTTGAGACTAGTGAGGTGCTGGCCACTTTCTTAGCTTCCACACCATTGCTATCCGAGTCATGGAGGTTATGCAATCTTGCCAATGCAAATTCGCCTCAGAGTTTTGTAGCACAACAGGTTGGAAGTATTGGGTATGTGGCCTTTTCTGGCATCCAATTGGTATCAGGGTCAGACCCCAGTTTCAAGAATTTGGTGCCGTTGCCAGTTTGTGATGCTGCTGGCAATAGCCTTTTTGATCTGTTACATCGCCAAAATGAAGGGGAAGACCCTGTCTTGGTGCAAGGTGCCTTGCTGAGAATTTTTGAGAATATGTATAGCAACCCAAGTTTTCGAAACCAGGTCGGTTTAATTTCTTCCTTCTGGATCTTCTCTGATAACATGTGTTTTTCTTTAATTATATGCTGTTTGGTTGGGAAGAAAATGGAGGAAAATGAGAGAAAAATATGAATGATCTGTTCTTAGTTTCTGTTTGCCTTCCTAGCAATCAGATGCAGAGTTAATTCTGTCTTAAAAAGTATTGAAAAAAGTTGAACATTTTGTCTATAGGTCTATGATTATTTGCTTTATTTCAACATTGATGATAACAATTATATCTAAAGCGTCCTAGCTCTTTATTTTGCCTTTAGATGTGAACAGGGGTTAGATGATAACAATTATCCAAAGCGTCCTAGCTCTTTATTTTGCCTTTATATGTGAACAAGGGCAAAGTTCCAATATTCCATTGAAACAGTTATAACAATAACTAATAACTTTTCACATCTCTCACATCAGTGAAAATTTGATTTTCTAAAAGTAGATATGCCAGCAGCTCCCTTGTTTACGGCCAGAAAATTACTAGATGAAAAGAGTTGTTACAAAATCAATTTTATTTCAGATATATATATATTTTTTTAACTCTCTATAATCTGTCCCAATAGAGATTAGCCAAAAGAATACACATTTGGTGGGGTTACATGTTCCACTAGAAGATGAGTACATGATGATGACATTGCCACATTCTTTGGTCATCATAACTAAAATATTGCGCATTAATGGCCTATAGAATCCAAGCACATAAAGCAAACCCTTTTTGTGCTCTGAGGTGTAGTTGGAGGTCATCCTTTGTCTAGTTTTCAACTCAAAACCACCATTTCTTTTGAATCCCATGTCTTGTTTACATTTTGGGGACAGAAGGGTGGCACTGTTTTTGTGCCGTGTTGACCGCACTTGCCTTTCGCCCACCTTTTGGCTTTTCCCTTGTTTAATTAGCAGCAGCTTGAGCCTTACCACGTTTTCTAGCTTCACGTAGCAGCCTCAAACGGAGAGTTCTGGCTATAAAAAGAACAAATGTTATAATTAAATATGCAGATAGGGGCAAAATACATCAAATCATGCATTCGAACTTGAAATTCTTTATATCTGTTTGCAAAAAGTTGGCAGCAGATTTGACACAACCACATGACTGAGATTGTTCTTACATTACCTTCACATGACTATGATTATTTGCTTTATTTCAACATATTGTTGTATGCTATTTATAGGAATTCAAATCGCAATTTAAAACCATGTCCATCACGTTGTGGGATACCAAATAAGGTCAAATCAAGATCGAATGCGTGTACAAAAATGAAAAATTATTGCCCTAAGCATCTTCCATCACACCATCTTTATTCAATGTTTTTGTAGACAAAGAAAGTCTCCATTTTTTATACTTCCGTGTGGGTCACCCTCTATTACCACATTATATTCACACATATTTTTTCAAGGTTAATATATGCTTGTTTCAGGGTCAAACTTTTACAAAACGTGCTTTCCCCCTTGAACATAAGAAGTCAAATTCTTTCTTAAAAAATGAAGAAGCAGGTAGTATCTTTTAATCTTTAATATTACAAGGGTCAAGGTTATTCAAGGACGAAAACGAATAGCTTTAAAGCTGAGGGAGCAACTTCAATTTTACACATATTTCAATTGATGATAAAATATTGCTAGCAATTATGATTCTACACAGTAACTAAATATCGAATTTTTTCTCCACTGCAAATTCAATCAAGATCTTCACTTTTTTCATAATAGCGGTGATGATGAATTGATGATGGTTTCTATTGAGACCACCAGCTAATGATAATGTTTGAATGTGATCGTTGACCAAGTACTGTCCAAACCAACTTCCACTGCAACTTTGGACCAAGTCTAAAATTTAGCGGAAGCTTGAACTTCTAGAATTAACGACTTTTGAAAAAGTTGTCCAAAAAAGCACATTTCTATTATTGAGCATTTTTTTTTCCCAATAATTTGTATGGTATCATGTTGTTTATCTTTAAGATGTGTGTGTGCAGATGTGTACATTAATGCAGGCAAGCAAGTCAATCATCTTCACAGGACACTCCATAGGGGGAACAACTGCCTCTCTTGCTGCTCTCTGGCTGCTCTCTTACCTTCAATCCAATTTTGCAAACCTCTCAGTACTATGCATCACCTTTGGCTCTCCATTGCTAGGCAATGAGACCCTTTCTCGTGCGATTCTTCGTGAAAGATGGGGTGGCAAATTTTGCCATGTTGTATCAAAGTATGACATCATGCCAAGGATGCTCTTTGCTCCGCTAGATCCCATTGCTCCCCACATAAAACCCCTGTTACAATTTTGGCACTTGTATATGAACTCTCCACATTTTGGATTGCTTGCTGTACAATTAAATGATGAAAGCAAGGCTGAAATTTTCCAACATGTATTAGTTCAATTGGGAAGGTTAGTAGAAAATGGGGAAGAGGCAGTGACAGGAATGTTTAGGCCATTTGGGAACTATTTTTTCTGTTCTGAAGAGGGAGCCATATGTGTGGACAATGCAGCATCTGTTATTAAAATGATGCATTTGTTGTTCGCAATGGGGTCGCCTGACTGTAGCATTGAGGATCATATCAAGTATGGTGATTATGTAGCGAAAATTTCCTCACAGTTTTTGGAGAAGAAAAGTTTCATGCAAGGAGAGCTTCCTGAATCAAGCTATGAAGCAGGTGTTGCATTGGCATTGCAGTCCTCAGGAATATCTAGCCAGGTAGTGCTTTCTATCAGAATTAGTGGTATTCTTTTGGCTTTGTTGTGTTATAATAGATTTTAAGAGAAGTGGACGTACTTTATCAAGCCATTCATTCTTGAATCGATGTGCAGGAACCAGTCGCAAAGCCAGCCAAAGATTGCCTCAAGGCAGCAAGGCGAATGGGGCGTACACCAAACTTAAACTGTGCCAATCTGGCAATTAAATTGTCCAAAATCAATCCTTATAGGGCAGAAATAGAATGGTATAAAGCATTGTGCGACCGTTCTGATGATCAGCTGGGTTACTATGACACATTTAAACAAAGGGAAGCCTCGAAAAGGGACTCTAGAATTAACTTGAACCGGCACAAGCTAGCTCGGTTTTGGGATAATGTAATCAACTTGATCGAAAGCAATCGACTCCCTCATGATTTTCACAGACGTGGAAAATGGGTCAATGCTTCCCAGTTCTATATGCTGCTTGTTGAGCCTTTGGATATTGCTGAGTATTATCGAACACGCATGCATAGCAGGAAGGGGCATTACATTGACAATGGAAGAGAGAGGAGGTACCAGATTTTCGATAGATGGTGGCATGAGAGAAATGTTGAAGCGGGAAAGAATAAACGGAGCAAGTTTGCAAGTTTGACTCAGGACACATGCTTCTGGGCAAAAGTGGAGGAAGCTAGGGAGTCGTTAGATGCTGTTAGTAGTACTAGAGATCCAAGTCATTTGGCTTTGCTTTGGCGGAAGATAGATAGTTTTGCAAGCTATGCGAAAGAGTTGGTTGAAAGTAAGCAGGTGTCTATAGATGTGGTGGCAAAGAACTCAAGCTATTCTTTGTGGGTGAAAGACTATGATGAACTGAAGTCACAAATGATGCAATTCCGTCCCCAGTTTTCAAGTTTTATCAATGGGGAAATAGTCCCCTAGTTTCCATTGAAAGGTCATGATGCCAAATGCCAAGCAGGGTTTGTAATGAATATGTAAAACATCTCTGTACGTAGGTTTTGGTATATGAATCGATTTATAAATATTAGCATTTAGAATTCATGTTGTGCGCCCGCCCCTTTTGCTCTGCAGAAAAAAAGCCTCGAAAATCTGCTGCCAGCAATTCTTCTGGTGCATATTCCACCAAATTTAATCAAACAAGAACAGGTGGCATTTAACCAACAGAAATTGTAAAACCCCTTTTCTTTTAAAGAAAAAATAACCTAGAAAATGCATAAACAGGAGACACTGAAACTATGGGGTCCCAATATATACTTGTAAGGTTGAATTTGTGATGGAACTTAAAGCTTAAACCTTCCCATTTGGAATATCAATATTTCTAACAGGTCCCCTGAACCATTTCCTCGCATCCAGCACCCACCAAAGCATTATCAAACTCAAACCGACACCTAAAGCCACCGGTGCATAGTTGAAAGTATCCCAGGAAATGGGGTAATAAGTTGGCAGAAGAAAGACTGAACAGGTATAACAAATCCACAGAAAGGCAATAAAGCAAACTGGCCTCCTTGCTTTGCCCAGGTAAAATGGCCCAGCTTTGAAATGCTTCTCGGCCATGACCATTCTTGCAAAGATTGGAACTGCATAGCCTCCAACCCATCCAATTGTACATATGGAAGTTATGGCGGTGAAGACTACATTGACTTTCAAGATTGGGAGTCCAAGAAGAATGCAGATGGCTGCACACAGCCACACAGCATTTGAAGGAACTTTATGCTTTGGGTGGATTTTTCGCCAGATGGATGAAAAGGGAATTCCTTCATCTCTTGATAAAGCATACACCTGAAGAAAAAAATGGTACGTTCATTTGGTGTTAGATGTCAGATTCAATATTTTGCAATTTGTATGCCAAATTTCTAACAGAAACGTATGGCCATCATTGTCAGAATGCAGTTCTGCACAATCAGCTTCGAAGCTGTCAAATAGTTATCAGGTGAATTCTTGACCCTCGACGAACCTACAAGCCTACAGTAAATCAACTACTTACCACTCTAGCTGCGCTGGTAGTGATTGAGAGCCCGCCAAAGAAAAATGAGCCCCATATAATGAACAGTAAGACGATGGCTCCAGCAGAATTATGATATCTGCCATAGAATGCATCATAGAGTATTTGAGCTGGCACAAATGCACCAGCAGTCTCGTTGCTTGGATCATAAAGGTAGCCAAAATCCTGAAGATGAGTTTCAAGTATAGAATTTAGACTTCAGTTAAATCTATAGTTTTAAATAACGGCCGTTATGTAACGGTTTTGGGGCATGCCGTTGCCTTTATTTTAGTAGTGTAATACACCGCGATCCGTGATGACGACAGTGACCGTTTTTTCAACAGTCCGCGATGTAAAACTACTTAAATCCCCCCTGAAAATCTTCAGGGTGGTCTAAAGTAGATAACTTCTGATAACGACCACCAGATTACAGTGCTGAAGTGGAAAAGAACTGAGGAAGGAGATACTAAAAAGGTAAATAACAAGGAAACTTTTAAGACTTCAGGAGTAATGAAACATACCTGAATGCTGAAAGAAAGGGCCAGGATATAAGCCCAGCCGAATATTGAAATGATCCCAATGCTAGAAAGAATTGCAATAGGACCATTTTTATCTGCACCTTTAGTTTCTTCTGTAAGGTGGGCTGCTGCGTCATACCCATATAAGGAATACTGACTCACAAGGAAAGATAGAACGACTGCATAAGGTTTGCTTGATATTCCTGTCGAGTTGGGCGCGGTTTCGAAGTGTGTGAACCACTATGAAGCAGATTGCGTAGTCAGTGACACCAGAGGAAGCATTATAACAATAACCGATCCTCCAATAACCTACCATCAGAAATCACAATCAATAGTTTTTATTCTACACTAGAAAGAAAGAAGGAAAAGACACCTGCTGTCGGACGAAAAGCATAAGATTTTACCTGCCACCATATAGAAATTACATCGATGAAGGCAATTACTTCTAATGCAAATGTGTTGAGCACTGCCCATATCAATGTGAGGCCAATGTACATGCATAAGAACAGCCATTTAGGTGCAAGATATCCTCCATCTTTGTTTGTGCCAGTGCATAATAAGATGATACTCTGCAGAGTTTGTGAACCTGCGTATGCCTTCCATACCAGGTAAAAGAAGTCAACATCTGATTCTCATTTTCTAACAGTGAGATTCCACCGAAAAAGAGAACTACCTGAGTACCGATGCCTGCAACTAGCCCTATGGTCTCGAGCCAAGCACAACACCAAGATGCAAATGGACCCCATCTGGGACCAGCTAAATGAGCAGCCCAGAAATAGAGAGATCCCGTTGTCTGTTTAATTTGCAGCCAACAGAAAGTTAGGTCCCTAAAACTTGAGCTACAAGGATGCATAGTGTAATCAGTGCATCAAACTTTCAGAACCTTATTCAGTTTTGGTTTGAGAAATGACTGCTTAAAATATTCCAATCAAGGAGAACTTTCTTCTCATGCTCATACATATGTATATTCTCTTAAACTTGCAAGTAAGCTTTTTATTCTAGAAGCATTCAATTCACAGATGTAGAATTTGATCAGGAAAAAAAAATTTGCATAAACCACAACTGAAACATAGAATTATTAACAAAAGACCAGGAAGTTTATAAGGAACAAACTGGAAAAGAGGAACAGATCTCAGCCATTGCAATGCCGACGAACCAGGTGAAGAAAGATACAATCACCCATCCCCAGACAAGACTCGCAGGACCTGCATATTGAAGGCTTGAACCATACAGGGGAGTAATCCCTGTGAAAAGGGTCATTGTTGAAAATGATATTGCGAGAGTTTTGAACAAAGTCTGCAGCATATAAGAGGAAAGCACCATTAGTACATCTGCAAATGATGTAAAAGAAAATCTAATAAAATCCCATCAAAAGGCTAAGATTTTTAGCATTCCATCCTCAAGAAAGAGTAAAGACCTATCAAAAACTGAGGACATAATACAGCAGGAGAATCAATATTCAAGAATACCATTTCTCTTCTCAGCTCTTGCTTGTATCCCAGTTCATTGAGTCGCTTCTCCCCGGGATCCATTTCTTGGATTTGTGTTGCCTCTGGTTGTCTATACTCCATATCACCAAGGTAATATCTCCAAATATCAGTTCAGTTTTAAACCGAACTAGTTATATGGAACATTGAAGGTTTCCAAAAAGGGCAGAGAGAACCGGGGGGTTGACTTATGCTTGCTTACACATCTTCGTGGCTTTTAATTTAAGGATCCTAGTCTCCTAGTCCAAGTTTGCTGCTTTTTCCATGTTTGAATTTTCTTTGTTGTTTCCCTTCAAGCAAATTTAATAACAGCTGCATATCTCTGTTCACACGCATCCTAGTATCCAGTTTCATATTTCACTTTGAATGATTCTTGTGTTATATGTTGTATCAAAACAAGTTTCAGTGCCCTGACAAATCTGAAGCATAGATTCAAATACCGATCATTACATAAAGTGACAACCATTATATAATAGCTTCAAGTCATCCTGTTACTGTTATTAGAGGTTATAAGAGTTCTGATGCCGTTTCATGAGAATAATGGCGCTATACTAAAAAAAAAAAAAAAAAAAAATCAGTTTTTGCCCTTTGCAGTCTACTCACGAGAAGTGATTAGTATGCTTACTAAATAAAATTGTTAAAATATATGAATTAAAATAAATTTATTAATAATTACTAATATCAGTTGTTGCAATAGTTATTTCACTGGTATAATAAGTTACAACTAACGATTGTAAGTGTGATAGTTTTTTCAACTGGGTCGCAACTTAAAACTAAAAATACGATCAGAAGAGTGGAAAAACATGGCAGGCGTGGGGATACATGCGAACATTACTGGTTTGCATTTCTTCCGGAAGTTCTGACTTTCATTTCATTCAGTTAACGAACTTTAGCATTGATTGTTCAAAATTTTTAAGTGGATATATCATCTGTCTGGTTTAGGTAAGGGGACACATCAGAGAGTTCCTGAAAGCTGGTGTCTGAAATTCTAATCCCACTTGAAGAAACATCTGCTTCACAAAATGAACAAATGGGCAACCAAATCGCTCATTGGAGATAGACTTCCTTTGGATTATTCTTTTCCCATGGTATTTCAATAAACACATGCTCTTTTTAAGGATTTGACTTATTCCAAAAACTCGTTCTTTTTATGCATTGTTTCTTATGTTCTACAGGACGATTCTGTTTACGGATATCAACCAAGACAAATGAGCAAGCAATATATATATATATATATATATATGTTATCATATTTCATGTCGGCTACCCCATCTCACCGGAACCATAAAAGTTTACCTAAAAAGTTGCTATCTTGCAAAGAAAATCCATATGGATGTTTGAAACATTGACCTAAAACAGGCAGTAGTACCTAAAGTACCCTTTAGTAGGAGAAAGTTTATAATATTTAAAGAATAACTATATAATAATTATTTCATGTATTTATTTTTAAGAAGATATATATATATATATATATATATATATTACATCCGAATCTATCAAAAGTGATAAGAAGATTTTTACGTTAAGCTTATTATTTTTTTTAATTTTATCTCTGTTATAATTTTTTTCTCTCTTCTATTTTTCTATTTTTTGTGTCTACTTTTTTCTATAGAGTAGATATATGAAGTAACTATTATACACTCTTGATTATCATAAAATTTCTCCCTTTAAGAGTACTGAGTTTTATTACATCTCCCCAGCTGCAGATATTCACCAAGCACCCTTGGCGTCCTGCCAAGGGCAAGCCAAAACTTAGTCATGGTTCAGAATTAGTTGGGAAAGATTCTGTGGATCATTTTCATCCATATGGTTCTGAATTGGAGAAAGCTTCTCATGAGTTGTTTCTCACCAAATCATGTGAAAGGCAAGCTCATTTTGTTTGACGAAAAACAACTTCTATAAGAAAATCAATTCTGAAGAAGTTATTTTTCAAAAAAATATTTTCTAACGTTTCACAATATATGAAAAAACTGTTGAAAAATATATTTCAATGTTTGTTTGATACAAAAAACTAAAATAAATTTTTTTTTGAAAATTTTGTTTGGTTTAAAAAGATTAATGTTGGAATAATTTGTAATTAATTATTGACTACAATTACCAATAAAATTTTACAACCGATTAAAATTAATCACAAATTATTTATTTAGTTACAAATAAATAGTGTTAGAAAAATATAGTATTTATTAATGAATTAATTGGTTTCAATTTTTTCACAAATGATTGCGATCTTGTAATAATTATTTTCAATCATTTAAGAATAATTTAGATGGTGTTTGGAATAATGGTAACAAAAATTAGAGATAAATTATTAAAATATTTATTATAAAAATAATTTTAAGGTGTAAAAATAGTTTTTAAGAATATTTAATGTATTTATAAATGGAAAATCAAATGTTAGTAGAAATAGAGAAAAAATAATTAAATAATTAATAAAAATAATAAAAAATTAATTTAATATATTTTAAATAAAAAGCGAGACGAGAGAAAAAAATTGTTAAAATATATCAAGAGAGAGATGAGTAACGTGAGAGCAAAAGAGCTCGTGAGAGAGAGGAAAAATGGTTTTTTTTTTTTTTTTAACTCGGAAAACACTTTCTCAAAAATATTTTTGTTATGAAATAATAAATGTTCATAATCATGTTCATCTATTTTTCATATCCTCACTACTTATGATTATTAATATGATTCAATTCATAATTCAATATAAGAAATTAAAAGGGTGATGCAATTGATTATTCATAATCCCTTTCAATTCTTTTCTCAAATTTGAAGCCTATAAATAGGCTTGATTGTTCATTAGTTGGTATATAGGCATTTTGTAGAGATTATGAGAATTGTTTAGAGTTGTTATCTCTTATATTCTCTTTATAGTGAAATCATTTCTTCATCATTTTTCTCTTCAATTCTTCAATTATTTCTATTTCTTTTATAACACGTTATCGATACGAAGTTCTAACCAATCGAGATAATAGACCATGAGGTATGTAGCTACTAAAATACTTAATTAATTGTTTCAACCATTGGATTTCTTTTGCACAAGTGCTCTACCAATTGAATATAAATTATTATTTAGATCATTAAGAGGTATGTATATAATTTATTATGTATTTTAAATTTAATGATACATAGAATATACATTTAAAAAATTTTAATGATTTAATATATAAAATCTAATAATTTAATAAATATTATTTGAAAAGTTCAAATTTTATTATTATGTTTGTTTTTATTTAAATTTTGTTATTAAATTTTGTCTTTATTTCCTAACATTATTATTATACTTTACAATATACAATTTTAATGATATCATATCAATCATCACAAAACTTGATTTTGTGGCCCTTGACATTTTGGGCAAGAATTATTGATCATGAGTGCTTGATGCTAAGTTAATATCATCTACTTTTCATGTCTCAATTATGCTCATGTAGTAGCATATCAAAAAAATGAGTTTAAGAAATATTTTAAATCAATTTCATATTTGTTCACGGTAGCTAAATAAAATGACAAGCTATTGATGAAAAAGAATAAATCTCGATCATTTGGGTATACTTCATTACCCGAAGTGAATGTGATCATTTATAATAATTTTAGGCATGGAAGAAGATGTGATCATAGCCATGGACATAGTCGAAATAATTATCATTATAATCGTGATAACCATAATATTACATCTCACCACTAGAAGTGGATAACTATATATATAAAAAAAAGAATGAAAATAGATTAAGTTAGCATTTTGACAAATAAATATTATAGATATTGAATGAATGAATATTGTTCGTGTACTTGCCGTACACCAAAGCACCTCATTGAGCCTTGTCAAGCCTAATTGAAAAATAAAGAATAAAATATGAAAGTCAATTTTATATATCAAAATAATAGTAATTAAAATTAATTACTTGTTATTTTTTTATTTATAAATAAAATATTTTATATTTTTTATAATTTATATCGTATAGTGATGGTTCTAAATTTATTTTACTATTTATTTGTCCGTGTTTATGAGGAATATATTTATTTATTTATTTTGTATTGATTTATTTGATTATTTATTTTATGTTAATATTATATATGATAATATCAATATAGTAGAAGGCTCTAGAAGAGCAAATATATTATTATCCAAAGAAATAAATTTTGAAAGCTCTAGAAGAGTGATTATATTATAATCGGAAGAAATAAATTTTTGAAGCTCTAGAAGAGTCGATATATTATTACTTGAAGTGACATAGTTTAAAAGCTCCGGAAGAGTAAATATATTATTATCCGAAAGGATAAATTTATTATAAATGATGTACTATTCTCTTCAAAGTCTTATAGAAATTTATTGAGTTTCAAAGATATTCATCTAAATTGATATCATATCAAGATAACAAATATAAATACTTGTCTATTATAATCATTATATTAGATAGAAAATATATATTGAAAAATTTACCCGCTTTCTCTTCTATTCTTTATTACGGATATTGGATTGATTGAAATAAATATTACGATGAAACCGAAGTTTGCTAATTCAAATACTTTTATTATGTGACATGACCAGTTGTGTTACCATGGATCCTTCATGATGCAAAAAAATTATTAAAAATTCATATAGACATCTATTAAAGTGCCGAAGATTCTTTAATTTAATGAATTTTTATGTTCTACATGTTGTCGGGATAAATTAATAATTAAGCCATCACCAAGTAAAATTGAGATTGAATCTTCAATATTTTTAGAATATATTCAAGGTGATATATGTGGATCAATTTATCCACCGTGTAGACCATTTAAATATTTTATAATTTTAATAAATGCATCCACAAAATGGTAATATATATGCTTATTGTTTACTCGAAACCCGATGTTTTCGAGATTGTTAGCGAATAATTTGATTTTGTGCATAATTTTCAGATTATGCCATTAAAATAAGTCATCTTAATAATGTTGGTGAATTTATTTCTCAAGCATTAGATTATTATTGATTGGCCATAGAATAAAGATTGAACATCCTGTTGCTCATGTTCATATTTAGAAAGGTTTAGCAAAATTATTTATTAAAAGGTCCAATTGATAGTTAAACCTTTATTTAAAAATAAAATCCCCGTTTATATTTGGGGACATGCAATCTTACATATAGCAATACGTATTTGCATCACACCGATAAGTAATTAGAAATTCTTTACTCTTCAATTGATTTATGGTTATGAGCTAATTATTTCTTATTTAAGAATTTTTTAGCATTGCAATGTATATCCGTAGTGCTCCTCCGTAACAAAATAAAATGGGCACTTAAAGGAGATTGAGAATATATGTTGGATTTGAATCCCTTTTGATAATTCAATATCTTGATTCATGAACAAGAGATATTTTTATAGCTCAATTTATCGACTCGTTATTTTGATAAACTAGTTTTTCCAATATTAAAGGGAGAGAATAAGCAAAATAAGCGAGTTAAAAATGTTGAAAAAAAGATTTCATGGAGTATTCTATCTTTATATCAATTTGATACAAAACAATGTAAACTAGAAGTTCGGAAGATAATTCGTTTACAAGGTATTACAAACCAATCGCTAGATGCATTCTTAGATCCTAAAAAAGTAACTAAAATGCATGTCCTCACCGAGAATGCTCCTATTAGAATTGATGTCATAGAAGGACGACCTATTAATGTTATAGCTAACGAAGCTAAAGCATGCCTAAAGCGTGAAAGACCCATCGGTTCTAAAGACAAAAATCCCTAAAAGAAAAAGGCAAGATTAAAATATAAAGGATGTAAATATTCACAAAAACAATCTAAGATATTTTTGATAATAAGCTTCCACAAGAAGTCCAAATGCTTGAGAAAAATCAAGAGATTTTGATAAATTATGTCAATATAGGGAGAAAATAGGATAGAAGAGAAATGTTTATTGATAAGATTTTGCATGTAATGTTGTAATTGATATTTTGAATGAAAATAAGGATCCCGAGCCTAAATTATTGAAGAATGTCGATATAAAGATGATTGGCCTAAATGAAAAGAGCAATCTAGGCGGAATTATGTTCTTCTACAAAAGAGTAGTTGTTTTGAATCCATAGCTAAAACATCCGAAGATGTTAAGATAGTGGGATACAAATAAGTATTTATGCGAACATGAAATAAGAAAGATGAGATTGTGAGATACAAAGCAAAACTTTTAATACAAGAGTTTTTACAAAGAGTCGACATTGACTATGAGGAAACATATTCTCCTATAATAGATGCAATTATATTTTATTATCTCATTAGCCTAGCAAAATATATGAAAAACATTCATATGCATGCACTTAATAAATGTGATCATAATTTATTTGTTCATTTGAAATGAATCGAGTATAAAAGTTCTAAAATGACATAACATGCCGAAGCATGTAACACGGATTCTCGAGATAAGAATTCAATTAAATTATAGAGATCTCTACTAGGATTATTTTAATATTTTTTATTATTTTAATTTTTAGAAATTCAATTTATATTATACTGTTTATATTTTATTTTTATATCTACTCGTTTATTACTAACCCATATGCATGTGATATAACCACTTCAATGATTATTGAAAGAAAGTTATAAAAAAATAACCCTATTTATTCATATATTTTTATTTAAAAATGAGTTTGTTGTATATATTGATAACTTAAATATTATTGAAACTCCTTAAGAGATTCCAAGTGTCATAAGTTATCTAAAAAGAGAATTTGATGTGAATGCCTTGGGAAAACAAAATGTTATCTCGACTTGCAGCTCGAGCACTAAGAGAAAGAGATTTTTATTCATTAGTCAATTTATATAGAAAAAAGTTATATAATGATTCTATATAAAGATCATTCATTGACTAGCTTAATGATAGTTCATTCACTTGATATCCAAAAAGACCCTTTTCGACCTCGAGAAGATAACAAATAACTATTTGGTCTTGAAGTACCATATCTTAATGTCACCGGTGTATAGATATATCTTGCTAATAATACTCAACTCGATATAGTCCGTTTTATAAATTTATTAGTAAGTCATAATTTTGTTTCAATACGGAGATACCGAAATAAAACTAAATATATACTACGTTATCTTTGATGAATAATTGATATGTGCTTATATTACTCCAATAAATCAAAGATAAGATTAATTAGTTATGCGGATGTAGGTTATTTATCCGATCCATACAAAGCTCAATCACAACTCGGTTATATATTTTCATATAGAGATGTAGTCGTATCTTAGAGTTCTATGAAACAAACTACAGTCGCCACATCTTAAAATCATGCGTAATATCAATTCACGAGGTAAGTCAAGAATTTGTTTGGCTAAGGTCAACGATCCATCATATCCGAGAGACATGCAGTTTATCTATCAATAAAAAAAGTTTCAACAATATTATTTGAGGATAATGTCGCTTGTATAATTCTATTAAAGAAAGAATACATCAAAGTGACAATCCATGAGATTTATTTGCTAAAGCATTACCTATCATAACTTTTGAGAAGATGATTCACAAGATTGAAATACATCGTTTTAGAGATCTCAAATGATGTTTTCAACAGGGGATGCCAACATTGAGATTAATGTGTACGAGAAATAATGCACTCTTTTTCCTTCACTAGGATTTTTTCCCACTAGATTTTTTCTTAGTAAGGTTTTAACAAGGTATGTTTATTGTATAATTGACATTCAAGAGGAAGTGTTATGAAATAATGAATGTCCATCATCATGTTAATCTACTTTTCATATCCCTACTACTTATGATTCTTAATATGATTCAATTCATCATTCAATATGAGAAATTGAAAAGGTGATGCAATTGATTATTCATAGTCCCTTTCAATTTTTTTCTCAAATTTGAAGCCTATAAATAAGCTTGATTGTTCATTAATTGATGTATAAGTATTTTGTAGAGATTGTGAGAATTGTTTAAAGTTATTATCTCTTATATTCTCTTTATAGTGAAATCATTTCTTCATCATTTTTCTTCTCAATTCTTCTATTATTTCTATTTCTTTTATAAGAATTTTATCATTTTTCGTTGGCTGAAAATTATTTTTTGTTAATTTTTTTGTAAAAGTGAAACAAATATAAAAAAATAAGAGGAAATGAGGAAAACAAACAAACACAGCCGCAATATGCAAATATTCTGCTAAGACGGCTTACGCATGACATAGACAGGAGATGGAGCACTCCATATTTTCAGAGGTACAGCCAGAATCTAGCTCAAGCGAAAAAGAAACAATACAGATGAAGTCTTCAGTTTAGACAACAAGCATTGACATAAAGATCTTCAATCTCAATCTCATTCTAAAAAAAATTGCCCATAAACTGAACATGTGTTACAAATTACAAAGACCAATTGGCATAAATAGGCAATGAATATCTAAATAAATAAATAAACAAATTGAACAGCTATAATATTCTCTTCAACTTTCCACCGCTCCAGGACAATTGACAGCATCCATGTGTTTGTAAAAAATGTTTAGATTGGGATATTATCAATAATCCTTAGACCTTACCTAGAAAGAAATGCTAAGAGATGATCGATTCTCTACGAGCTCCTCCATGGAAGTTGTCATGCAGTCTGTTGGAAGGTCACAAGAAGAAGATATCTTTTCATTTTATCGTTTTTTTGTTTTCGAAAAAAACAGAGAAATTATTCATTTCTGTGAGGTGTTGCAATGTCATTTAATCGGCAATGATTACTTCATAGACAAATGCAGAAGTTACATTAAGCTTTGAAGATTCAAGAAAAAGAGTACTCTATCCAGCAATTGCCTTAAAAGAATAGGCTATAGAGTCAGGTAACTGGAGCTACATCAAATGAATGAAGTACTTCTTCCAAAATCGTTCTGGTGTGAGAATCAAGAGGACTCTCTGGCTTGTCTGAGCGCGTAATATTTAGAAGGTAAAGCTTCTTAGAGGACACAAATGCAGCTGAGAAGATCCTCTTCATCCCTCCCCTGGTGCTGTCAACCTTGTACTCAAATTCATACACTTGCAGGCCTCCATGGCCTGATCTCTCAGCCACCGAAATAACTTCAGCACCCTTCGTGCTTTCCTTCAGAAAAAGAGAACTTACAGTTACCAAAGCCAACTTTTTCTCCAGCAATCATTCACTTGAAGATGAGGCAATACAAGGAAATGCCTAACCACAATAATAAAGAGACAACAGGCATTTTAATTCTTTCTCCACTCAGAACTACAACATTATTTTTCAAAATTCAAGCTTTTCCCCGAACATAGCAGCAGGACAGGAAACTGACATGATAAGATACGGTGGGTGTCTGTGCATATAAAAATTTCAGGTTACTAGAATATTGACTTCCAAAAAAGAAGCAAGATTTCTAACCACCCAGATAAAAAAGTAGTGTCTTCTATTATTCATCCTCATTTATCCATTTTGCAAAAACATTTAAACTTCTCTTTCAGCAATTTTAACCGAAATAGACCAAATCAACGCAGATTCCAATCAAAAGCATCAACATTCAGCATTGCATACAGAAGATTTCCATCAAACTTTGCACTTAAAAACAAAACTCACCTTTTTCTTTTCAGCTTGTATAAGCTTGTCAGCCACAAACTGAGGGCTCCCAAATTCACCAAGACTAGTTAGACGAACTGGGTTCACCACAACACCAATATTGTTACTCCCTTTATTCACTTCTTCAAACAGCACTGTTGCCCCTGCTTTATCCACCTAATTAACCCAAAACTAACCCAATTCTTTCAGAACAATAACCTCAATGAATACTTATTTTTTTAATAAGTTAAGCACATACAGAGAAAAAGGAAGTACCTTAACATATGAAGAGGGTGTAAGGAGAGTGAAACCCTCCTTGTAATCAGTGTATCTTGCAAGCTCCAATTCTTGAGCCAAAATGATGTTGTTAGACGAGTTTGGTAATGACCCATTTATGAGCAGAGCAACAATTGAGAGGTTAAGCTGTCTTCTTTTGCTTGAACAAAGTGATTGTACTAGTGTTTCTTTATTTGGGTCATTGGCGTTTTGTGGTTGGCTTTGTTTTTGCTTCAAGAAAGAAGCTTTGGGCAATGAAATGGAAGGGAAGGATTTGGAAGTGTGGTTTTGCCAGTAGGGATTGTGGTTTGTGAAAGAAAAGCTGACTTGCAATGCCATTAGAAATGAAAGAGATAACTAACGTATTTCCTCCACACCGTGATATTATCATTAACAGAAACACTAAGGAAAACGCACAAACACTCTACAATTGACTGTGTGTTTCACCAATTTTACTGTTTGCTATCCCTCCATTCTACTGTTTGTTATCATTTTCGCACTTTGGTCTCTCCTTTTTTCAGAAAAAATTTTTCGGTCCCAAATTTCATTTTTATTTCAATATGGTCTCTGAATGCTAATAGGACAGAAAGGAGGAGAGAGAGAGGAACAGTTATTTCGTCCATCTAGATCGTTGAAATTACCACCATTTTATTTGTGTTGAAAAATAAAATTTGTTAATGGTGGTTAAAATCTAAAAAATGATTCCAGGATATAGATCGAGGTCTAAAAATATTTTGAGTTTTTCCTTTTTGATTTGAATTTTTTGTATTAAAAATGAATTTTGAAACTTTAAAATAATTTACAAAATAAGTTTTTAGTTAAAAATTTATTGATTTTTAGATTTTTTTTAGATTATTACAAGTTTTTAGTTAAGAATCGGATAAATAAAAATAAATCATATTTTTTTAGCATAAAATTTATGAAAAATATAAAGAATAATTAGTCAAATGTGATATTTTAATAAAAAAAATGATAAAATTGAATGAATATATATATATTTTAATGTTTGATTCAATATATTTTGGTGAATTTAAAATATAGTGCAGATTTTCAAATTGAAATAATTTTACATATTTTGTCCGACTTATAACGTAGTATGGAAGAACAAGCGATAAGTTTGGTGGTCAAAATGATCGAAGGTTTGTTGTATTCTTTATTTTTTTATTTATTTAAATCATGAATCAATATTAAAAAGAAATATATATTTTTAATTATATTAAGTTGAAATGAATCATTAAGGATATTGCTAAATTCACCATGTGTTTTGTTATTCCCACAAATTTTTTATTTTAAATTACTAACAAACCTTTATATCTAATCACTAACTTGATGTCTGGTGGCATATTGGTAATTTACAATAAAACATTTAGTGAGAATAACAAAATATTTTGATGGATTTAGCAATACCCAATCTTTAATTGTAACTACTAATACTGCATGTAACAAAATATGTTAGCTTGCTTTTAGGGGGAGGGGGAACCTCAAATCAATCCTTAGGTTCCTAAACTAAAAAATTTGCTCAATTGAGTTTCAAAATCGAATCCCTCGTCTATAATATTCTTTAATGTTTTCCATCCGAAGTGAATATTTTGTGTAGTAAAATAAATATGTTTTGAAGAGAATATGTCTTTCATTGAAAATTGTATTGATTTTATCTCATTAAAGAATTCTGATAAACAAAGATAAGGGACTTAATCGAGAAAATGTCTTGTTTAAAGACTAAGAAGTAGAAGATAATTGAGGTTCTAATTTGAGTTTTCCCCTAAAATTTAAAGATGGCAAAGGCAGAATTAAGGTTTTTCTCTTTTTAATCATAAGGGCAGGATGTGAATTTGATCATAGTACCTTTTTCAATTGCCATCTGACTATGTTCTATTCGAGGTGGCCCATTAATTAAAGACTGGATCATATTTTTACAACTCTATAATCTATTTCATATTTATCATTTTTCTTATTTTTCAAATTACACTAACGATTGTTGATACTTTTTCAAATAAATAATATAGTGACTATCTTTGGGAACTATAATTTGAACGAAGCTGGCATTGCTTATTAGATTTCATAAATTGAAAACGATATTTTTTGGTGTCATTACTGAGAATCTTGGACGAAACACATGGAAATTCATCCTTGAAAAGATAAGAATTTATTTATTTATTTTCGTACAAAATTACTTATTTTGTTGTTCAATTATATGGAGAATTTTTCTTTCTGCTTTTGAGCAAGTAAAAGTAAGTTGCAGTGAAGTTCCTCGAGTGCAACAAGGAAACGCGATGACCTGGTCCAAGAAAAACTGGAAAGCACTTACAGATCAAGTGCTTGCCTTGGAAACCCTCAGGATGGACGGACCAAAATGAAACACAGAGGGCTATGCTTGTTGCCATGTCCATAGCAGATAAGGAACAGCTTGACTTTAGTGCTGAAGAAGCTGGAGCATCTTTGTAGGGGATGATGAAGTTTGCCACGGAGCTGGATTATGAAGACTATATATTTGATATTTCAGGAATCTACGGATGCTGCTGCGCGTACTGTGGTAGAGCGCTGGGAGTTAGGGCAGCATAATTGACCAATGAAATGCTTATACATTGCCATAAAATAAAGGTGACATATCATTCACCATACGTATATACATTAAATGTTAAAATATCAACTAGATTTGAAAGACCACAAGTCAATTGAAATGTGAAGGGCAACACCCAATTCTGTGTTTGCATGATGGCATCTTGAAGTTGTCTCCAAAATACCGGTGTACTATAAGATACTGACGGTGGTGAAATCCGGAGCCGATATGCATATGCCCTCAAAAATATCAAGTTGACTCCTGATCAACGAGTTGTTTAACCATTTTGTTGTTTTAAATAGCACTTGAAGGCACATTCATTCTTCATGTTGATTCCTCACCTAGGAAAAGTAAAGGCAGAACAATATATTTTGTTGCATTTTCGAATAGCAGCATTTACTCATATGCATGAAAAGAAGGGATGAAAATGTGTCTTTTTTCTTTATTCCTCCTTTTTTTTGCGAATGAAAATGTATTTTCTCATTTTACCTCTTTCTCATATCATCAGGAGAGAGCAGGGATGCTGAGGGATCCAATGTCCAGTACTCTAGGCAATATCTGTGATAGCCCATAACAAGTAATGATCAATGTTGCCAACACATGATAACGTGCAGAAAATATTTCCCAACTTGGTTTAAGAAGACTTCACCTCTCCTAATCGGGCATTTATCTTCAACGGCACAATATCATCAGCCCGTGTCACGCCTAAATTTACAATTGCAGTAGCAGCACCTGCCTCATGAGCAGCTCTGTTCAAAGTCAAAAAGCCTTGTCAACTGAAGCTTAAACATACCTGGAAACATCATGCTTCCGTTGCCTCATTGTCAGTTGTGGTTTAGTTGGGTACAATGATAAAGAAAAGGTTAAAGAAATCCCAGATTCAACTTCAAATCTAGGCATTAATGCCTAGCACACATGAAATTGAGGTTATCTTGATTCAAGCTATAGTCACTATGGATATGCACATGCCAACAATATTAAAAAGGCATTATAGTAACAATTATCCATCACTCTGATGATGTCAACATCAACGTCAATCGTAAATGAACTTATAATGCTTTAGGGATGAAAATGACCCTCAACTTAATTTCAGTATCAAGAGGATGCAGGCTTTACATTCAGTAACTACCACCTAGCAGCGCAATAAGATGTAGCTTTTTTTATCTAACTTCAAGTCTGGATATATACACCTGCTACTGTTTAGGGTTATCGGTGTACTATTTGCTGCCTGAAAGCAACAATTATCCTCAGTCCTTGTGGCATTTGTCAATATAGATTTCTTTTTTCTTTTTTTTTAGATAAGTGATATAAAATCATTTTCAGCGAAAAATGGTTGTTTCTTGAACTAAATTAATGAATTTTCTTAAAAATCAACATCGAGTTCAGATTTTGAGGACTTTTGTTTATTTCCATATCCCAGAGAAGAAAAAGAAGCCAAGAAACTGTAAACTAAAACATAAATTTTCCAGAGACAAAGGTATCTCTGATAAATAACCTTGATCTATAATCAAAATTTGTCATCACCCATCATAGAGAAATGAACGAAAAACACATTTACCTGACAAGTCTAAAAGCAGACATGGTCATTAGAGACGATCCTAGTACAAGGAAAGTATCACATCCTTTCGCAGCTTCCATTGCCTTGTCTGCTCTATCCTTGGGGACATTATCGCCGAAGAAAACAACCTTCAGGATTAGCAGATTCTCATGTTCAGTACCAATATTGCAAACGGTTCTTTAACCATATTTTAGCTCAGTACTGTTGTATCATACATGAGTGCACCTTCTTGAATAAACTGATTATAAGCACACAAGCATGCGTGTGCTACTTATATATCCATGTTTTGTTCAGCAAATCGAGGAGCACCCCACAAGATAATGCATAAATTAAAACTGCCATACCATTCATATACGAATGACCAGACACTGCAATTTCTTTGTTAAATGATTCAAAATTAGTCTAAGCAATCAGCCAGCCTGCAATCCTTCCATGAGAAGTCATCATTAATATTTCCATCAGAGAAGATATAGCAACGAGATTTAGCGCAGACTAACTCAAAATATGACCACTTTATCAGAAAAGAAAAGCTTAAGAACCTTTTTTATTATCACCTATGTCATATTTTTTTCAGTTTTTCCACACCATGAAATTTCTTCCAGTGAACAATGCACAGAAACTATAAAATAAAATTACTGGCTTTTGTCCAACCTATATTAAGCACTTATTGCACAAGCATATAAAATTTCAATATGAAAGAATGATTATAAATTGATATGCAGAAGCAAAGAATGAAACACTGATCAAAATTCAAACTTATGATGGCAGATTATATCTATGTATTAGATAAATACAGATGGAATCTGCTTTTACATAACAGTGACATCACAAAGCAACAGCTACTGGTCACAAGTATATGCCCCTTTCAAAAACCAAGCATAATGCATGTACTTCCTGATATTAGAAAAGTTATTGAGCTTACAGACCAGCACGTCCATTCAATGATAACTTTCTACAAGCATTAGACAATGCCTCTTTTACTATTTTCAATGCATGCCTAGATTAATTTCAGGACTTAAATTTTCCTTTTAACATTTTCTAGCACTTGATGAAATCCTGTCATAAAATAACAATGATCAGAATAGATTTATGAGAAATCATTTAGCGTACCTGCAGTTGTACTCTTCTCTCTCCTCTCATAAACATGGGACCCACCATGAAAATTATCCATGGATCCCACCTTCATGTGAGAGAGGGGAGTACAGCTTTAGGTTTATTAAATAAGTCCTATGTACCCTGATCCTATGTATTTATGGCACTATACCAATTTTTAAGGACCATCTTCATGATTCTGCAATGTCTACACAATTGTAGATACGTCAGGTCAACTATTACCCCAGTCAACAAAAGTGATAACTAAAATTTGGCTACTCTTTTTTTTAGGGGGTGGGTTAAAAACAGGAGCCGAAGGGCCAAAAGAAACAAACTGATACTTAGATGCTAAAATTTGGCTACTGATTATGTATATCTTTTACAATAATCATAAGCGCATAAGGGGGAAAAAAAGACAAATTTGTTCTGGAATCAAAATTTAAAAGTTTCCACAGATATACAGATATAGCATGCTGACATTTATAAACCAGAGGAAGAAAATATTACATCAGGTTTGAGCACTCCATTGCATTTTTGGCATGTAGGTATGTGGTAATCCTCCTCCCAGAATTTCTCATCAATCTCAATATCACCGTCAGGTCTTTGCTTCATGCCAAAGCTCTTGTCTGATCCAGGAATAACATTATCCAAGCTTTCAATTGCTTCTGCCCACTAAAGTACAGAATGATTTTATCAATTAGCCTTCGAGCAACACAAATGACATTCCAGATGAAAATATGAATTTGCAGCCAGGTCAAGAAAAGGAACAAGTAGTTGAAAAAAAAAAAAAAAAAAGGAAAGAAAGACATTCAAAGAAAACAGGCAATTCAAAGATGGCATTTGCATGTAACCTTGCCAACCATTTTCTCATTATTTGAGAAAGCAAAACATTTTCTATGATGAGGTTTGGTTCCTCCTATTCATGCCTTCGTATAGGCACTTTTCAAATGGGCTTCCTCTTCTTCATCTCGCCAATAAAAGGAAGCAATTGCTCTCTCATCATTCCTGAAATCTATTTTGGCCTTTGAGAAATATTTTTGAAACCTTTCAAAGATTTTAGTAGCTGGATCCCTTGTCACATTTTCTATCAAACAGAACCTCAAGTACCTCATTCAAGCCCTACGTCTCAGATTCTTACATTTTCAATCTACCTTATAACAGCCATTTCGGACATTTTTACTTCTGAGGGTCCACATCTTTGGAAAAATGGCATGCCTATGTTAAACCTCATTTATCTAAAACACTCTTAACTCCAAAAATGTTTGGCCATATAGATTGTCATTCTCTCTGAAGTAAAGCTCACTCGTGAACTCGCCTCTCAAGCTTGCATGACAGGATTGTGTACATGAGAAGTCTGGACATTTCCTACCCTAAAAAAGCAAATTGTACAAAACCAACCTTTGGATTGAGGGCCTTCAGTTGGTCCTGAAATGAACTCCGGGGAAAGGAAAAGTTGCAATCTAGACAACTCACGGAGTATACAGTCCCATGTATTTCCAGTGGGTTGCTTCCAGCACGATGGTGCAGTCTGGAACAGTATTTTGATAAAGTTTGTTATCATTGCACTTGTCTATGGCTGCATGAAACCCTCAAGAGTTTCTTGGAAAAAAAAAGGAGTGGCATGAACAGCTAGTTACCTATCAACATTTTGTGTAATCATAAAATCAATCCGCCCAGCTTTTTCTAAAGATGCCAAAGCACAATGAGCTGCACTAGGTTCTGCAGCATGAAACCGTCTCCATCCAGCATAGCTCCTAGCCCAATATCGCCTACGTGTTCGACTTGAACGGACAAACTCCTGTTCATGGAGAGACACAAGTATATATTATATGTATAACCTTTTGCTGTGTACGAAAAAAATTTATACCAATCTTTGGAAAGTACAAGGTAAAAGTACACTACAAAAAATTTCCTTGGCAGATGAAAGAAGAGATACAGAATGAATTCCAGTTTCTGTGATAGTCTTTTTAATGTTTTTACAACTAAATGGCTCTACCAACCCTAATCGCAGGGTCAAGCATGTTGGTGCGACAGGTACTGACAGCATTCCTTTTAGTGAACTACAATCCAAAAGCATCTTAAATATATATGAGGCCAGTTCCAGTCTAATAGAAAGATGGTCTCACTCAACAAAAGTTAAGGAGATAATTTAAATTCAGTACTTCATTTAGTGTAACCACTTCCCCCAGCTCTGAACATGAATTCAAAATTAAAATAAGATCTAGAATTCATCTATGTGTAAATGGCTTCCTTGCCCTTACATTGAATAAACAGTTTGAATTGCTCCAAAATTTTCTGTCATAGCTATTGCATGAAAGAATTAAGAAAAACAACAAGACATTGACTGTAGCTGATCTCTTTTCTGTCATAACATTATCTCATTGGCAGAGATTAATTGATCCATCAATGAAGGATTTAGAATAGTCTATTATGATAATCTGTCAGCAAATTCTCTATCAACTATTCCTGATTTCATCAAATCTTTTTAATTGCTATTTTTGTTCAGAGACTGCCATAGTCATCCTATGAGATTAGCTTAATAGGCCCCAGTTAAATTGGGCTGACAGAAAGGTAAATTATACTTGCAGTCACTATTTTCCAAAACTTTTATCATAGATAGATTATCATCAATCCTGCCATATATTGATGCTCTTGCACATTACTTAATTCCTGGAGAACTGAAGCTTTATTAGAGGATCCTTACGGTGGCAAATTTGAAATTTATTAGCTTCCCTGTGTTTCTGTTTTGATATAAACCTTGAACATAATTGACCACTTATCATCAATGTTGAAAAAATGCTGAAGAAACAAGATATCTGACAATCTGCCTTCAGATCACCTGATGGGTAATTGGTTTGAAACCAGAACTGTAGGCTCCATTTGGACTGCAACAGGATAAAATTCAATATCATTATACATCAGTTTGGCCCCACTGAGAAAATTCAACAAATGCTTTTAAAACAAAACATCACATGCTACACATAGATTTGATAACCAATTTGAATTATTACAGGATTTCTTATAAGCTATAGCCAATACATAATTTAAAAAAAAAAAAAAAAAAAAAGAAAAGATCATCATATACTCAACAGAGAGGAAGTGTAGACAACTAGAGCTAAAAGCAGGCATCAGCCACTTATATCAATATGACCGACTGAATCATATACATCCTTTACATTTCCACGCTGATGGCTGCCTACTACCAAAAATGCAGCCCAGTCCACATGTAGAGCACACATAAACGAACAATTAACAAAACCTTGCATAGTGGAGTTGTTATGCATCTTACTTATTAATGTGGATGAAGAAAGCAAGAATCGCGATGAATCACACATACCATAATATTATATCAGACAAAACATCAGCATGAATTGAGAGTGAGTGAACAAATTCAATGTCAAACATCCAAAAACTTCAATTCAGCCATCATCAACTATGGTTACTACAGATCCAAAAGAGAAAGCTGAAGGAGTAATTGATCACAAGCAACTTGAGCGAACTTAGAAGAAGTGCATTCTGTTAATATTACAATGAATGCACTGCTTACTGATATATTAAATGCGCAAAACAACATCTAGTAGATATGATAGACTCATAAGACAGTATTAAGCTTATTGAACAGAGTAAAGAAGAGATAGAACCTTCTATAATCAGGAATTCCACATTCTGTACTAATTCCAGCTCCAGTCAAAACCACCAATTTAGTGCTGTAGAAAGCTCAAAAAAAAAAAAAATGCATCATATTTTACAAACATAGCTAATCAAAGAAATTAAACAACTTCATTGAGATTAATCTAACCTTTGATCAAAAACCTGGTACAATAACTCAACATCTCTGTCACTTGGAGGATCTGAATCAGGAACTGTCTTCTTATATTTAAAAGAAGTGACTTTTTCTTGATTTCCAAATGTGTTCCCAGCTGGCACTGAAATTCGGTATGATGTTTGTACAGACCTTACAGCAGAGCCTTGAAAAGAAACAACCTTTTTGCCTCTACTCATATATATCCAATTCTTGTTGCTTAATTGAACAGAATCTACATAAACAAAGAAGAAAGCAGTACTTCGCAATCAAATAATGTCAATCATAAGCAAAACCACATTTGAGCCACATGAATGCAAGGGAATTCTGTGATATTAAAAAAAATAAAAAAAAATAAAAGGAATCAAATTCAACAAGAAACACCAACCCCACTTGCCTTTCATTACATTTCCAAGTACCCTTCTTGCAGTTCTTAAAGTCTGCTGCAAATTCAAATGAAAATTCAAACTTGAAAGAAAAAGAATGAAACTTTGAAGATGAGAAAGAGAGAAAGCAACTTACAGAAAAGGGTGCGTGCAAAAGCATGGCGATTATGTTGATGGTTTAAGAAAATTACTTTGGTCTGATTTTTTTTAATTTGACAAAGAAACTCTTAAACTGGATGGTATTTATGTGGTTGGTCTTAATATTGGAAGCTCCGGTAATGATGGCGGTTGTTGTGGTTTTAAAGTTTTTTGTCTATTTGTAATTTATACTCTTCCACGTTTATCACTTCTTTGCCATTTATGTACTTTGTCCTCGGAATTTTCATCACTGAGATTTGCCCACTAGGTGTTCCTTTTTTTTGGCTGGTAGAAAATTTTCTTTAACAACTTGTTTTGAATGCCAAAGAAATTTCGAGTAGATTATAAATCAGTCCCTTTATTTTGGAAAACCAAATTAATTAATTTTTTATTTTAAAAATTAATTAAAGTGCAAGCGACGAAAGTATAGTTGTGCTCCAGTTTTTTCGATAAAAACCATAGCAGCAGTTACAGTCACTCAATGAAAATGTTTGCCTTTGGAATGAAAATGGATGAGCCGGCCGTGCACTTGAGTCTAGAGTTCGAGGAAAAGATGTCACTAAAAAAGCTAGCACCGTCCCAAAAACAGCCTACTTGAATCTAATAAGATGGAGTCAGATTCTCATGTAAAATAGAAACGAATCAATTATTTAATTTCTTAATCACTGTCAACTTGTTTTATTTATACTGGTCTGTTTGCACCGATCAATAACTGCCATAGAAAAGGACCCGAATTGCAACATTTTATAAATATAGAAACTGAATTGAACATTTCTAAAGATTTTCCGCAGCCTCAACATCAGGAATTGGGTTGTTGACATCTGCGCACCATTGACGTCATTCGGCGGCGGCTGAAATGGTGGTAAGTTGCAAGGAACAAGACCAACGCATTGGAGCGGAAAATGTTTTATAAAAGTTCAATTAAGTACCTATAAGTTTCAACATTTACTATTTTTCTAATGGCTTATTTAATGGAAATTATTGATTGAGATCCATTGATTAATTTCTTATCTGGTTAATACTTTCCTACGTCCATATACTCTTCGTTTTTTATTTATAAAAAAATTCTACTATTTCTTGTCTTAATATCAATTTTATCTTTTATATTTGTCACATTTACTCTTTTTTTATTCATTTAAATGAATATATTTATTTAACTCTTATTTTTTCCATCAATCCATTTTAATTATATGATCAATTTTAACTATGTTTATGATGTGATATGTAGAGACTTAATTTTAAAAAAAAATCATTTAAAGAATAAATTACATATGATCATATAATGCGATGACCAAAAAGTTTTAATTCGATACTTATTAGTAAGAAAAATATAATACATAGATCAAAATAAATTTTTTAGAAAAATCTAAAGATCAAAATATGCATTAGCAAATAATATTGAGGTTGATGGTTCCAGAGTGGTCAGCTTTGCCCGAATTTGAATTTATTAATATTAATGCCACACATATCAAAATATACACTAGCAAAAGAAGTGTCATCTTTTTTATTCACAATTTTTATGGAAAAATAAGATCTGTTATTAAAAATTTAATTAGTAATATTTTTATTTAAAATTAAAATATTAAGTTAAAACGATTAAAATGTGTAAAGTTTGTAATTTTTTAAAACATTAAACTATATAATAATGTTAGTGATTTGATGTAAAGATAAGGAAAATGTAAAATAAATGATTTATATTAGATTAAAAATAATAAACAGATATTTTTTTTTTTTAAAAAAAGGGATTTAACTAAGCATTAACTCATTCCTTATCCATTATGGTGTTTATCAACCAATTGTTGGTGGGTTAAGCTGTTTTCACGAGAAGTATGTTGGTGACAATATGCTTTTGAACCTAAAAGCTCCATCGATCTTCAGCTTCCAAAATCTGGAAATGCATTTGTAAGGCTGTGCCTTACCTTCGTGATGACTATAATTAAGTGGCGTGTAGGAGATGGTGCAAGGATCTCTCTCTCTCGTCAAATACATGGTTTGGTCTTTTTCCTCTTTCTAGACATGTTCTTAATATTAGAGAATTATCATATTGGTCTTCAATGTTATATACCCGAGAGTGATAATTGAGATCTGAGCGGCATTAATATTAATAAATTTATTAAAATAAAATAACTTTTTCACTGTAATTAAGTCCTTATTTTGGCTTTTAATGAAATTTTATCTGTTTTAATTCTTATTTTGTAGTTTTTTTTTTGTTTTAGTCATTAAAGTTTTATCATATTTGATTTTTATCCATGAAAAGACAATTTTTTTTTTTGCTTTTAATGAATTTTCTTAGTTTTGTTTTGGTTCTTATTTTGTGATCTTTCTTTTATTTTAGTCATTAAATTTTTATTATTTATTATTTTTATCCTTACTACACTAAAACTAAATACAATTTCACTATCCTAATTTTTTTTTAGTAAAATTTTTCTTTCCGTTTTGGTTCTTGTTTTGTGATTTTTTTTATCATTAAAGTTTTATTTATTTTTTATTTTTTTCATGCCTTATGCATAATGGATTTTTTTAATCTTATTGTTCATACGTTTTTTTTAGCTCTTAGTGAAAGTTTTTTTTTTATTAGTTTGGTCTTTATTTTATAATTTTTACTTTGTTTTATCATTTAAATCTCGTTGTGTGTATTTTTTTTCTTATTTTTTGTCAAATAGTCTTTCATTGGACAAAAAAAAAAAATTATGTTTTTGTTTTAAGTGGTCTCTCTTTCTCGTCAACAAACTACAAATGAAAATTTTATGATAGGAATTAACCATTTAAAATTAAAAAAATTGTCACATCATTATTTTAATCATTAGATATTATATGTATTTCTAATAAAATGTATTTTTGTATTAAACAACATCTAATTAACAATATTATATTGCTTAACTTTGCGGACTTTTGTTATAGATAATCATACGGTAATGCACGAGATATATGCTTTAGTATCTTTATTCTCTCTCTCTCTCTCTCTCTTTTTACGTGATCCTTTTAAATAATTATTTTTGAACTTTGTATTTTACATGAATGAACACATAAGAATGATGTATGGCTCACCTCACGGGATAAATACTAGTATCTACTATTCTTTCTAATGTAGTGATATTTTATAAGCTATTATTTATACTCCTTCCCCTTATTGTTTCTTCCTAAAGGATTGTATTGCTTGGTAGGGGTGTTCAATATTCGATGAAAACCGAAAACCCAAACCAAACCGTACCGAAATATCAATTTTGACTCGGTTTTGTTTTTAGAAATTTTTTTAAAAAATCAAACCGATATATAATTGGTTTTCGATTTCGATTTCGGTTTTTTTTTTGTTTTTTTTAAATCGATTAACCGAATTATTAATTTTTTTTTAAAATTCATGAGTGAAATGACGTCGTTTCACTCCTTTCGAATTCACAAACCTAAAATCACAAGTTCCTCTTCGTCGGTTCGTCATCCTCACTTGCTCGGACCTCACACCTCAATTCCTTGTTCCTCCTCACTCTACGGTCCTCTCCAGTCTCTTCCGGACCTCCGCCCCTTACTCTCATACGGTCGGACCTTACACCTTTAGGACTCGGGAGTCTCTCACGCCCTCAACCCCTTACGACGGAGTCACGCCTCACCCAATCTAGTCATCCTCACGGCCTCACCTCACTCTCACGGTCTCGGTCTTCGCCCCTCATAATCACAACCTCGGCCCTCTCCCTCACACCACACGACCTCACCAAAATTGAGCTAGTAGCCGGTAAGAGGCTAGGAGCTAAAAGCTCGAAACGATTGTGAATCACTAAATCGATGAATTGTGTAATTTATGTTGCAATAGCCAATACGAGCTTAGGCTAGCTGGTTAGCACTCTAGCAGCCGAGTGGGCACTACTCGACTGCTTGGCCATTGCCCACAAGCTCGCGGCTATGGGCACAAGCCACCGCCCGCAAGCATTGGCTTTTGTCTTATTTGAATGGCTATAGTTATCAATTAAACTATTTTTGATATTTTTTAAGTTCAATAGATTACTTTGGCTAATTTTTTATTCTTATATATTCGGGAATTCTACTAAGGGAAATGAAAAGAATTTTGGCGAGTTGGTTTGTTGATATCAACAATGTTATATCTATTCGACGTAGATTCTACTCGACCACTTTTTTGACAAGCAATTTCAACTTGACAAGAGAAAGGACTCATTTAAAGCAGTCGAAGATGCCATTATTAAACTAGGTACGGACGGTGCCAAATTTCTTCATTCTATGAAGTTTTTTCTCCTAGATATCCTTTTGAGAATAGCTTGCAAAAGATGTTGCATTGGATTTTTAATGAGCCAATTAACTTGGTCCGGTCCCTTTATCAAACCATATGCATTCATAGACATAGGAATACCTCTTGTGTTTTCCAATATATTTATTTATTTTGGTTTTGCCCAAATCTTATTTAATTGACATAATCAACATATAATATCAAGTATTAATTATAGGTGAAAATTGAATTATCAAATAAAAAATCAATCTATTTCGAAACCAAATCGAAAAACCCAATAATAATTCGATTTGGTTTCGGTTATTTTTTGGACAATTCGATTAACCGAAAATCGGTTAAAAAATTTTAAAATCGAACCGAATTACCAAACGAACAGCTTTATTGTTTGGGGTGAAACTCCTTCGCCACTTACTTTACCAAATCGGGGCATAAGTTCATTACTAGGGTCCTTTACCTTGTGGCTTCTTCTAATGATTGGAAGTTGATTTTGAGGTTATCTATCCCTCATGAACATCGTCATTTTCTCAAGCTTTTGAATTGGAAACACTTACCTACCAACTTTTTATGTTACATAAGAGACATTTGTGTATCATCGAGGCGACATGTAACACCCACGACCTAGGACCTAATAGGTCGAGAATATTGTCATTGTTTGCTTGCATTCATAATTGACTTAGATTCGAAGTGCAATAAATACAAACCCACAAGGCACTTGTCTTTCTTATGGTATTACTAGGTATAGATTTAGCTACGAAGCCTAACAATGAAGGGCGGATCCCAAATTTTATTTAGGACTATAAATTTTTATAGTATATAGCATTAAATTGGTATATGTGAAAATTAATGTAGTTTGTATGCTAGCCCAAAATACATTATAAGTTTTTTACGTATTAGCATTTTATTTAATTGTTTGAACCGAATGGACTCGGATCTATGATGCTCATTTTCTCAAATTTATTTTCAATTAACTCGCATAAATTTATTTAATTATTATCCATTATTTGGTATTTAATTTCTTTTATCCTCATTAATGGCCATTTATTATTGTTTTTTTTCTTATTATTTTAGTGATTACATTTTATTATTGACGTTGGCATGTAAATAAACGAGTTAAAAGAAGCTAACACTAGTCATTACTAAACTATCAAATTTTTACCGATATGTCTAAAATTTCAGCTAACATACAAACTACCTTAATTTTTACATATACTAGTTCAATGCCATACACTAAAAAAATGGCTTATTTATTTATATCCATTTCTTTTCTAACTAACTACTCATTTGTTCATGACCTTAACTATCATGTAAAATAGCGATGTCATACCCAAGTATATAAACCAAAATACCTTGCACTCGCACCCAAGATAAACACAACGAATTGATCCCTTGGTAGTCGACTCAAATGTGAACGTTATCATCTTTACCTTTAGTACCTATACCATAGGAACTTGGTGAGTGATTGCTCGGTAAGTTAATCCATGCATGATGTGCAAGTAAGTGAAATGCACATGATGAAATATTTGCATGTTCTTTGAAAAATCATTTTTTCCATGTCATGAAATCCTCGCCATGAATATTCTAAAAATTCTTTTCTATTTTTGGACGTCTTGTCTTCAAACTTTAGGTTTCGACGATCTATTTAATAAATAAGACCGAGTCTATAAATGTGTGTTGTCGAGTCTCTAAAAGTACACGTATGCACCCATTCAACTTATGAAAACCATGAACAATGAAATTCATGAAAAACCGTAAAGTCCTTTCCACAAAACCATGAAAGTCATGAAAAACCTTGTAACCATGAAATATTTTCCAATTGCTATTGGAAAATCCTTGAAAGAAAACCCTTTTCAAGACTTTAAAATTTTTTCATGAATTTAGCATACATATGCATTTCAATGTAAATGCTTAATCATTATGAATTCATGTAGTGTATGTCATGAATGGTGTGCATTTACGTCATAATAATGCATATTTCAATACTATAAATGCATCATAATATCTATACCTTATGATGCCATTCCAAATCATTCCAAATAAAGGAGCCATCAATATAAGAATCACATAACCTCACATTGGCAACATCATATAAGCACAAGGCATTACACTCATTCAATAATCAAATCCACGAGCTTCCATAACATAACAACCACATAATACACAAACCAAGCCATAAACCCTAATCTTTTTCAAGATTGGTAGAATGTGCCATTAACTTAGGCAAGGTAAATTTCTCAATTTCAATGCCAATTTTCATGCTAAATCATCTAAATATACTTTAATAAAATGAAATTAATTAATTGAACTTTCATAGACTTATTGCACTAAAATTCTAATTTTAGGCCTAATGGGTCGAAATTCTACCTAGGTTAAACTAAGTTAATTTTTCAATTCCAATGAAATTTTATATGTTAATTCATCTTTTCATACTATTCTAACTTGAAATTAATCAATCAAACCATCGAAACCCAAAATATTAAAACCCTAATTTTCACCTAAATTGGGCCGAATGTGGGCTTAAGGTAACTACGTGAAATTTTCAAGTTTTGTATAATTTCTCATGCTAAATCATCTATTCAAACTCAAATAACACATAATCAAAAAATAATTCATCAAACAAACAAAAGGATAAAAAACCCTAAATTTGTTAAGTTAGGCCGAAGTTCCACAAAGATTCAAGCTAAGAAATTCTTCTTTCTAACATATGTTTTCATGCTCAATTAACATATTCTAACTTTAATTACATTAAATTTACCTTAATTTTTATTTTTCCTAATTTAACCTAACTAATAACCCTAACCCTAATTTCTAAAATTAATTCAATTAAATACAATTTAAGGGTTCCAAATCAACAATTGACATCAATTAACACATCCCTGTGGTGTAGGCAAGATTAACTTACCTTTAAAGCTCCAATTAAACCTTTGAAATATTGGTTTTCTTTGAGAATTCTTCCTCCTTCTTTTTCTTCAAACTTTTGACCAAGACCCCCAATTTTTCTCCTCGGGATTTTTGATTTTCTAACTTGAATTCTATGCTTAATAAGATGTTTTTGGTGATTAAAGGTGTTTGGATGAAACTTTAGGTGGAATTCTATGAAAATTTTGCAAGCATTTCCCTTGTGTTTTGCAATTTTCCTAAGATTTTTCCTTCATCTTTTTCTCCCATATATATAGGTAAGCTTGGTTGGACATTCTCCATGTTTGACTTGATCTCCATCCTTCATTTTCTTTAATCCTAACCCTTGATTTTACTTTTAATCTTAGCTATTCATTTGTTTTAATCTTGGCCTTCCATTTTTCTTTTAATTTTAACCATCCATTTAGCTTAATCTTAACCCTTCCTTTTGTCCTATTCAACCTTCATTAATTAACCCTTAATCATGGAGGCTAGAAGGCAGCAAAAAGGGAAGAAAAATCTCTCCCAAAGTTGTTCAATTATAGTCCCTCAATTTAAGGAATTTTTCTACCATTACTCTTCCATAAGTCCTTCAATTATTCAATTGATCCCTTTAGGCCCTTCCTTTAAGGGTTTTCTAACAATTTTTTACTTCTTTAAGTTCATTCCTAATTTAATTGAAAGTTTAAAATTTTAATTTTATATAATTAGGTCCCTAATTTTATGCAATTAGGTCCCTAATTTTATGCAATTAGGTCCCTATATATCCATAATTTATTCCAAAACTTTTCAAAAATTTCATAATAAATTCAAACACCTCTTATAAGAATTTATTTACCATTCATATAATTTTTATACACTTATTTAAGCTCTCAAACTAATTACTTTGTGTAAAAATGCACTTATTTCTACGGAAAATATTCCTTAAGCACATAAAAATTCACCTCGGTGCATGAAATATTGCTACACCTCCTTAATCATTTTTTATGTCTATTGGATAATTTTCAAACACATTTAAAACACTCAAAATAATTAATTTGCATAAAATCCACTATTCATACACTCGAAAAGTTCAAATAAATTATTCACTAAGCATCAAAAAATTCATCCAATGGTACAAAATAATCTAGCACCACTCTAGAAAATATTCTATGCAAACATAACATTTTTCATGCACATTTAAAATGCTTAAAATAATTATTTTGCATAAAAAGTTACTATTCATGCATTGAAAAATAGATAAAATATTCACTAGGCACAGGAAAATTATCCTAAGTGCATTGAATATTCCCAAAATCTCTTAAAAATTATTTCATGCCCATGAAATAGTTTTTGCGCACCTTTAATATATTCTTAATTCATTTAATAACGAGTTCATAATATTACACCCTCTTATTCTTA